TGCTTAAGGACACAGACCCATGTTCACAGAAACAGACCCATAATTTCTTTTGTGAAGGGCTGCATTGTTTTAAAGCAGGCATGTCTTGCAGAGAGGAGGTGGGGTGATGAGGGTAAGAGGCTTGCGAAGGGGATGAGGTTGATAGCAAGAGAACCGAAGGCAAGTTTGGAGCTGGCTGGCACTGCAGGACGTCCTAGAAGGCCTTAGGTTGGTTCCTACTCAAGTAGGGGTTCAGGCTCTGAGAGACTGGATGGAGGGGAATTTACAGTGCTATGAATATCTACAGACAAAAGTAACAGCTGCTTTCTCAGTTCTGGTGTATTGAGCACTGTCCTAAGAGACTCCTGAAGTGTCCTAGATGCATACAGATTTCTTGGGAGGGTGGGACCATGTCAGACTGTGCCCACGTTGCTTGCTGCTAGCATGGTGTCTGCCACATAAGGGGTGCTCAGTAAAGATCTGAGCGATAAATGAATAAGTAAATAGGGATGGGGAGGGCAGAAACAAAGAGCTGTGAAGAGTCTGCCAGTAACACTCCCTCTTTTGGCAACTTTCCTCCAATAAGCAAATCTTTGATGGCTTCTTAAAGTCTCCAGAAGACTCAATTTGAATCTAGAGATCTGTTTCTAGAGAGGATATCATGAATATGTTATGAGAGAGCACCCAGGACTAGTAATTCTAAGGGATGAGATCCCAAGTGGGGGCCTATGTTCCTGGAGGAGGGACAGAGTGAGGGGGCATCTTTAGACCTGGAGTAGCCAGCAGGTAGCTGGAATGGTGGTTGAGCTGAACACACAGTAAAATCCGGAGCACTTGACCAGGCTGAAAGTTATTCTGAAAGCTTCCAGAAACAAACAACCCCAGCACATCCAGTGGGTCAAGGGTGGTGGGGAAACCCCCCAAGATCAGAAGGAAGCCTGCTGGGGCTTGAAATGGTACTTACCTTGGGATAAGAACACAGAGCTGTCGTCTGGTCAGCCGTGGGAAAGCCGGCTATGCACCACACTTTTATTGCAGTTTTCCACCCATGTGGCTCTCCATGATTGGTGCCCAGATAGGACTGGAGTTAATCTCAGGTATACATTGGTCTTGTTGGGCGTAGGTAAGATAAACAATTTACCACAGAAAACAGTGGAAGAATATTCCCCTCCATAAACCAATGAAGTTGGGACCGTATTTATTGCCAGAAACCAAACACTAATCAAAAGGGAGCTTAAAACCCAAAGGGAAGTGAGAGAAATCAAACAGGCACTTGTTTGCACAATAGATTTCCAATTGTACCTTGTGTTCTTAGCTAATCACTGTAGAACACTTCTGCTTCTGTCTGGATGCCACTCCACTTGGGGCTAGTTAGAGCAAGGGAATAAATAAGGAAGTGGGGGATGGGTGTTTCCTATTTTTGGCCCATAGACTCTACCCACCTTCAGATACTCAGTGTTGTGTCTGGGAAGGGCCAGTTTCATGATGGTGAGTCATGGAATAATACCAAAGGACAGACCAAGTAAGTGTCAGAATCACCTCTCCTCCAATACCTCCTAGTAGGTGGGCTACCCTAGAGATTGGAAGGTATGGAATGGAGATGAAGCCAGAGATCTTGGACTTGGAAGTGTCAGGCTTGGACCTGGCTTCCATGGCATGGTATTGTGGCATTAATAAAGGAGTTGAAGCTTTTGCAGAACAAGTGGTCACTGCCTGTCCTGTGTTTCTCTGAGACTCCTCAAGGAGCCAAGGCTACTGAAGACAGGGAGCACAGGAGTCTTGGCATTGGTAACACCTTCCAGCAAAACCCCAACCTGAACAAAATAAAATGCTACAAGCCACCTTCCCTACTCCTAGTACATTTGGAGAAAAAAATCCCTAAATGTGGAACTTATAACCACCACAAATGTTGGATTCCATAATTCATCTGGGCCCACAAAACCATCACTTCCACCTTCCCTCCTCCAACTCTTCCATTCCAGTCTGAACCATGTGGCTTGAGCTGCCCTGCTAAGGCCAAGTCTTCAAGCATTTTTTCTGGCCCCTTGTCAGTACCTTTTTTGCTGCTTCTTCCAGACACTCTGCATCTCCCTGGCTCCCCTGTGCCACTGTTTTCTTGACTTTGTTGCTCTTTGTCTGTCATTGTCCTTTTCCTTCATGTATCCTTGAGAATGCCAGTAGATCACATTTTTCTTGTCACTCCATATACTCTCACTGGACAGTGTCAAGTTATCTCCTGGTTTCTAGTACCTTTTACAGGCTAGTGAGTTTCAAATCTGTATCTCCATCCCTGACCAATCCCTTGAACATCTGATCCATTAACCCAGCTGCCTGCCGAACCATCTCTCCTTAGGCCGAGATGCTTGAGGTACTTTCAACTCAGCAGTCTCAAATCTGAAGTCATCCATTCTCCAAATCTTCCCCTTTTCACTGCATTGTCTTTCTTAATCCATGGCACTGCTATGCACCTGGTCACCCAAACTGGAAACCTACCTCCCTCCTTTCTCCCTCAGTCACATTTCTAGTAATTACCACAACTTGTCAGTTTTCAAGGATTTCTTGAATCTGTCTTTCCTTCTTTAGCCTTATTTCACCAACCCTAATTCAGGCCACTGTTATCTTATGAGGGTGATTTTAACAGGAGCCTAGTGAGTCTCCTTGCTTTCATTCTTTGCCCCCCTTTGATTCTGTTACCTCTCCTGCAGCCAGATGCCATAGCGTCACCTCTTGGCATTATCCCCCACTCCCGTCACTTCATGCTTCCAGGGATTTGACCCCTGGCCGCACTCCTAACCTCACCTACAGCTTCTCCCCAACACATTCTATACTCCTTCCAATCTGTGGCTCTCTGAACTCTTTCCCACCTCCTGACCTTTACATGTGCTCTTCCCTCTCTCTAGATCATACTGTGCCTGGCCTCCTACCATATATTTAGGTCCACCTCTCCTAGGATAACATATTCCTAGGTCCACCACCAGGAAGACTCCTGAACACTACACGCTTGCTGGTGCATCTTTTCTCTGCTCCTGTGCCTCACTGGGATGATTCCAGTCCCACTCAATTACCTACTAATTGATCTGTCTCCCTCTGAAGGCTGTAAGATCTTTGTGGACAGGGATCCTGTCTGCACTTCTAACCAGCACCTAGTAAGTACTCGTTGAGTAAACAAATGGGGGAAAAAAATAACATGTATGCTTCAAAGCCTCTCCCGTGAGTAATGCCTCAAAATTTATGGCTATCCAAGTCTTAGTGAAACCTTGCTGGGAAGACACAAAATCCTCCCTCAGGGCCTTTGCACTTGCCTGTAATGTTCTTCTTAGATATCCCCCTGGTTCGTTCCCTTACTTCTCTCAGCTTCTGCTTATCAGAGAGACTTTCCCTGAGCATCCTATATAAAATAGCACCCCCCAATAGCTCTATTCTCTTCATTGTTTTTTTCCCCAAAGTGCTTGTCTCCACCTGACATTTCACATAATTATTGTTTAAATGTATTCCCCCTTTTTAAACATGAGCTCTTTATCAGTAAGGTCTCTGTTTTGATTACTTGGTGTTTCTGTGGTGCCTATAAAAGTGCCCAGCATTGAATTTATGTTTAAAATATCTATTGAATATTGAGCTGAATACTTAAGTGATAAAAAGAAAAAAAAAAACAAGAAAGTAAAGAAAGGAAAAGGAAGGGAAAAGAAAGGAAAGGAAGGGAAAGAAAAGAAAAAAGGAAAGGAATAGAGGGACAAAGGGATTAATTTTGATGTGTTTTCTTTTCCCTGTTTCTTGCATTTGGCCCCTGTTTTTATTTTTCCTCATGTTCTGTTGTACCTGGGTCAAAGTGAATCTGCACACAATCCAGCCAGGCTCTACTAACCATAGACAGGGCTGGGCTCAGCATTGAAGTTCTCCATAAAGCTCTTCTGTAAAGGCAGCAGGTTTAGGGATTCAGTGCATGTCTGTGTGTCTCCCTGTGAGGTCCTGTAACTTAATATACATATCCTCATAGCCCCTGTTTGCTGATACACACATGTGGTTTTCCCTGAGATCAGAAGGCTCTATTAACACAACAGGACCTTGGTCTGTCCTGGAAAGCCACAGCTGGAGTCCCAGAAAGCAGCTGGTGTCAGGGCAGACATTTCCCATCAGCATTGGCTTCCACTGACCTTGACAAAGAAGTCCAGAGCCCTTGGAATATCTGGGTCTCCTGGGCCCAGTAGCCTCTTAGTTTTTGATTGTGCCTTCAGTGAGCCTCCTGAAGTCCCCTCTTACGAAGCAACCCTGCCCAGTAGAGGTCGTGGGTCTGCTTTCCACTGCTACTGCTGTTGTGGCTGTGCACGCAGGCCTACATCTTCTGGATGGAGAGGGACAAGTGCAATGGAGGGAGGAAGTCCCTGGGACAGGTCATACATCACCTCTAAATACTCTGAGACTTCTGAAGATAGGGACTGTGTCTCTCTTACTTACTCCTGTCTCCCCAGTACCTTAGGTGAGCACCTAGAACATACTGGATGCTCACCTAAATGTTTCTGCAAAGCTGAATGGACCCTGTGAAAGCATCATTTTTATCCCTATTATACAGTGGCAGCAGCCCCTAGTTACGCTTTCCATTTCTGCCATTTCTCCCATGCCTGCCACACTTGTAATCACCATTCAAGTTCTCCTTTTCCTGCCAGACTGTATGCTCCAGGAGGGGAGGGATGGTGTGTGGCTCATTCCCTGCTGTATCCCCAGCAGCTAGGACAGGGCTGGCACATAGGAGGTGCTCAGCAAATATTTCTGAGTAAATGGATGCATGGAAAAATGAATGAAAGAATGGATGGACGAAGCTCAGAGACATTGTTTTTTTTATCTGAGGTTGTACAGCAGAACCAGTTGAAGCCAGTCTCTCCAACCAGGGTGTGAGCACCATGAGTGCAGGGATGCAGTCTGGTTTTTTTCACCCCAGGGTCCTCAGCTCTCTGATTAGTTCTTACATATACACGGTGCTCAATAAATCCTTGTTGAATGAATGAATGACTTCAAAGACTGAGCTTTTAAAATTATTATTATTTTGCCATACTCTTCAAAGAGACATGGGACCTTATGTGCGGACACGTCACAAGTCCCATTTTGAGAGAAGGCAGAATTTGAAAATAGAGAATATTTTGCAACAGTGAAGATTAAAGTGGGTGGGGTGGGGGGGGGAAGAGGAGCAAGATTGACTGAAGTGTGAGCTCCCTTTTCTGTGGCTGGAGCACTAAGCTGCATCATCCCCAGCCAGCAGGAAATGAAGCCACAGAGCACAGGGTTTCCAGCTGCCAGTCACTGAGACATCAGGGTCAAGGTGGCCCACAGAAGCAGAGGCAGCCAGACCTTCAGGAACCCTGCAAAGAAAACAATTACAGGGCTGCTGGTAGCACTGATGTACCTTTGTACAAAACTAACGTAAGATGCCACCTTTAGACTGACCAATTAGGAAAGGACACCCTCTCTGGGCTGATCAGTTAGAAAAGGCAACCTTTTCTTTATCTGCCCTGAAAACCAATTAGAAAAAGGTTCTACTCGGGGTAGAAAAAGAAAAAAAAGTGCCCTCCCAAGTGGACCAGATTGAAGAAAACAGCCTTTCCTCTGACACTAGGATTGGTAGCCCCTCAAAAGGACACTCATGTGCAGTGCCCAACCTACTCAACCATCCTTGGACTTTGGGATATTCACAGAGGATGAGCCTCTTAAGAACATCTTGAATCTTCAACTCCAAGCTCACTGCTGAAGGGTTGGCCTAGCTCAGGTAAAACACTAGGTTGGTGTAACAACTCCTTCAGATGTAGATGCCAGGAGCCAAGAAGGGCAACTCTTACATGAATTCACTTTTCATCCAGATTTTCAGACAAGTCAGTGTCTGTGAAAATCAAAGGCCATAAAGTGCCAGCTCTCCCTGGCTTTTGTGGTCAGAGAGGCAGAGAAACAGAGCTTCTTGTTTGTCTAGTGTGTTCATCCCGGAACTAAGCATGGTCCTTCGCATGTAGTAGCACTCAACACCTATTTGTCACCTATTGAGTGAATCCTAAAAAAGGTGTTAGAGATGAGTCACAAAGCTTCAGGAAGTGCCCAAGGTACAGCTCTAGTGTGTGCTGTCTATTGGGTATAAGTTTGTAGAAGTATGTGTATGTCTGCCTTTGCAAATATGCATGCACGCAACTCCAGCTGTCTATGCCTCTGTGTGTGCAGATATGAACATATGCATGTGACATGGTGCATGTGTGTGTGTGTGTGTGCGCACAGACATGTCTGCGTGATGTACATTCTGGTGTGCCTGTCTGTGCACACCTGTCTTTGTACGCCTGTCTGTGTGCACATATGCACTACTGTGGGACAGCACAGGTATATGTGCCTATATGTACGGCCCCAGGACCAGGCATTTCTACAGATGCAGTCATCTCTTTAGACCTCAGGCCAAGCAGGCCAGGCACTCCAGCACATCCTGGGCCCACATATAAAAGCCCCTGAGGAAGGTTCTAATGCAGGTCCTCCTGAAATGAGGATCTGAACTTACCCAGGCTGCCAGAAGCAGCCGTTGAGACTACTGCCTGGACATCTGTAAAGGGAAAGAAAGGATCAGTGCAAGGAGAAAGCGTGCAGATGGCAAGAAGCCTGAGAGATATCCCTTCAGTTTGCTCTTCTGTTGGCAGCTAGAGTGGTCTTTCTGAATCTGGATCAGATCATGTCACTTCTCTGTCTTGGACATTTCAGGAGTTCCCCACTACTTTTAGGAGAAAGGCCCCAAATCTTAGCAACAATGATAAATTCCCTCATGGTCTGGGCCCACCTGCAGCCGCTCATCCCATACCAACCTCTTCCTCTTTACAGCCTGCCTGGCCTTTTCTCAGTTCCTCTAGCAGGCTGGGTTACCCACCCCCTCACCTCTGCCTCCACGGGCCCTTTGCCTATGCTGTACCCTCTGTCTGGGGTTCTCTTTTCCTCACCCACTTTCCCTGACCCCTCTTGGTTAATCCTTCCTCCGTCTGAATAATGACTGCTCCACTGGTCTATAAGCTACATGTGAATGAGGTCTGTATCTGTTTTTGCTCACCACAAGATTCCCACCTGCTAGCACAGGACCTAGTATACAGGAGGTACAAGAACAAATTTGTGCAATAGAATGAATGAATGACTAGGAACTGGTAAAAGGCAGGCAGCTTGTAGTCCACTTTGCCCCCATAGAATCTACTTGCTCTGGTTCTTCAGAACCCAGTAAGATCCATGTGCCTGGTTCTGTCATCCCTTCTCATCTCCAGAGAATATTTCCCACCAGAAACCTGGGGGAGGGAGTGGCTCTCTTACTTTTCCGTGTGATGGGACCCAGGTTCAGGACGTGGGTTTGGTCTATGATGCCCCCACCGCGGAATCTGGTCCTGGAGCAGGTCTGCAGGAAGAGGGTAACAAAGAATCCCTTCCATGAGGGAGACTGAATGTGGTCCTACCATGGGGAGTGGGCTGCACTCCTTACAGGGGTCTCCTCCTGCATCAGGCTGGGGCTTGAGGTTGGTCGAGGGAGTTGTCAGGAGATCTGTATACCTGGGCTCATGCCCCACCTCTGCCATTCATTAGGTGTTTGATCTTAGGAAAGTCACTTAAGTTCTCTGAACTGCTCTCCTCATATAAAAAAGGGAACTAATAAAATGTCTCCCCTTTAGTTACTGCCAAGAATTAGAAATTTAACACAGATAAGGTGCACCTGGTACTTTAAACTGTCACCTTCTATTATGAGAACACAGGCTTGCAGACAGTCCAGAGCATTTACCAGCCTGTCGCACTGTGCTGATTCCGCCTGATTTCCCAATGGCTTAGGTCTCCTACCTGGCTCTGCCCACCCCATCTTACTGCACATTCTGTTCCTGGACTAAAAGAGAAACACAACAGTAATGTTTGTTTTCTTTTAGACCTTGTGGCCAAATGTCTTTGGTTATGGAAGACAGGTGAGGGGGAGATCATGGCAGGCAGCCTGAGTGAGGAAAGTCAACTCACAGGTTTGCATTTTTCAGTAAAGGTGTCACAGAGATACACTTCACAGTGCAGGTAGACCAGGTCGTAGTTCCCAGCAAAACGGAACATCTGGACAGAAAATCGGCCCTGAGAGGACTCCCCATTCTCCACCACTTGGATGGTTGAGTCCTTAGTGCGTGGACATCTGGGAGGGTTAAGTCATATAACGTGGTTAGTTAAGCAAGCACTCTGGGGCCAAACTTCCTGGGTTCAAATCTCACTCCACCACCTATTAGCTATGTGTCCTTGAGCAACTTAATCTCTCTGTGCCCCACTTTCCCCATCTGTACACAGGAAATACTATTTGTAACCCATATCATAAGATAGCTGGGAAGATTAAATGAGTTAACCTTTCCAAGAGCATACTGCAGTATATGACACATAGTAGATGCTATTTATCTATAATGTGTATATATAATGCTGAAATAAAATGTCATCAGCACAGGGTTGAAACTATGCTATAAAGTCAGCACCTCTGATTTCCCAAGAAATGAGATTCAGGATCATTACCTACCATTTGTTGGCTATCTCCTGTGTGCCCAGTTCTAATGATAACAGTGGCACTTATAAGTCCTGAGGGGCAGTGACCAAAAGGCAGAGTGTGTGTATGTGTTTATGTGTGTTTATGCACGTATGCCTATCTGTACAATTGCACAATCAACACAGTTGCACCAAAACTCAAAATTGCACATGCAGAGATCATGTGTGTGCTGGGCTGGATCAGGATACAAGGGCAGGCAAACTGGGCATTTTCTCTGCTATTTTACATGATTTGCTCAAAATTGATTTAGGAGAGGGGCTGAGTGCTCACTACACAGAGGAAGAACTGAGAAGGGAACTCCCTGCTTTGTGCAAGCCATTCAGATCTTTTTGTAAAAATGCAGACTCCACTTGGCACAACGAAAGCCCTGAGGTTCAGGGGACCCACCCCCTGAAGGCTCCATGCACGCAACCTAAGCAGGGCATCCAAGTTTCCCCTCCTGCCCCTCGCTGTCTCCCCAGTCGCCTCTTCCTTACATGTCCTGAGATGTTTGCCACTCTTCCTGGACTAGTGCTTCCTAACCCAGCTCCCACACCCAGACAAAAACACAGGCACACCCAGGCCTTCTTCCTGCTTCCTTTTCAAAACTTTCTAAGTGTCCCACGATGAACATACTCAGTGTTTTTACTCAGGTAAAAAAAAAAAAAAAAAAGTTTACCAATCCCTGCACAGTAGGTATTTATGCCCATTTCACATATGAGGACATGAATATTTGGAGAGATGAGATGAATTGTGTCTCCATACTAAGAAATAGCAAAGCCAAGATGTGGACCCAAATCTCCATGATGCTCTAATCTCCATCAATGCCCCTTTCCAAATTTGCTTTCTTGGTCTTACCTAGAAACCACCTTTGTGTATATTTTTCTTTGTTTCCCAGCATCTGTATTATTATCATTTACTTGCTTTGTGCATTAAATATATTTACATTTTTATTGGAGAATACATCTATTTTTTAGAAGAATCTTTAGATCCTAACCACAAATAGCAAACCAGCATCACTTGCCATAAGCACAACATGACCATTTATGGATAAATACAAAGTAAAACAGTGCTATTAAATTTTAGTTATTTCCTGTCACAGCGGAAGGCCCTAAAGTAGACTTCTTTCTGTTGCAGAGGGGATTAGCAATAACAGATATATATGTCAAAGGAGCACCAACTGATACTTTTCCCTTGATGTAACCAGGCAGATTCTAAGAACCGAAACAGGAATAGGTCACTGCCTTTTGGGGATGCTGTTTCTGACTATGCTATTATATAGCATATGCCCCTTCCCTTTCCCTGCCTTGGGTTTTTCCTATAGCGCCCTTACCACTGACATGCTACACATTTCTTCTTGTTTATTATTGCTGATATTAGAATATCAGCCGTATGAGGGCAGAGAGTTTTGTCCTTTCTATTCACTGTGCTGTCCACAGACCCAGGCACACAGTAAGCTTTCAAAAGATTTCTATTCTGATTTGAATGATAATGTGAATTACTTCCTCTCAGTGTGGTCCACGGTTCTCCAGTGCTGCTGGAGTGAAAAGTAGCACACCTGTGTCCTCCCTTTTACAACTGGCCCTGTGTCTCTAGCTCAGTCCTCCCAGCCAAGTGCCAGCTTGCCCCCTACCCTGGGTGGGTGCACCTTCCAGTCAGGTTTCTTAATCTTTTCTTGAGCCCTGGACACCTGCAGCCTTCTGGTGAAGCCTGTGCCTCCCTCTTCAAAAATAATGTTTTAAATTCATAAAGTAATGTACCTAAGATTATAAAGGAAACCAATTCAGCTGAAGCATAGTTCTCAAGATATTAGAGCATTTGATATATGCATTATATATTTATATAATCTATTCTATATAAATACATATATTTACAAAGATATATATTTGATAATACATTAAATAATTTCTAGTAGAAAGTCTAATACTCTAGTAACTAAAAAGTACTGACATGTATAAATATTTTCACGTGTCCTGCTAATACTTCTATGGTTTGTTGCCTGTGTTCATAATGGCTGGTGATGCCATATTTCAGCTAGAGGTGAATGAATATGAAGATGTACTTTCTCCCAAATCCAAATCCAAAGGCTGCCCCCTTCTGCCCCAGAATTCCACCCATGGGCCTTACCTATCCTGGATGATGAAGTATTTCAAGGGGTCCGTGGCGTTGCCGCTGGGTGTGGCATAGCAGTTGGTCATCAGCAGTGCAAACCGGGACAGGTCACCCCCATCCAGCACGGTGCCCACGTAGAGAAAGGCCTCTGTGGCCAGGGTCACAGACGAGCCTTGGTAGGGCTGTGTGTAGGTGGGGCTCTGGAAGAGTGCCATCCGCACGGTGAACATGCCTGTCCCACCCACGCTGATGTTCAGAACGCTGCCAGGGGAGAGGGGCTGGTGAGAAAACCAGAGCTGAGAACAGCAACAGATGGGCCACCCTTTCTGTTCTGTGGTCCCAGGCGGTCCCTGGCAGCTCTGTGTGTGTTTATCTAGCAGGAGGACTAGAACCCACCAACCGCTGCAATGGCTGCCCACTGTGATGAGCAGACATGGTGGGTCACCTCGGGATCTTGTTGAAATGCAGGTTCTGGTTTGGTAGGTTCAAATAGAGCTCAAGATTCTGCATCTTTAACAAGTTCCCGTGTGATGCTGATGCTGCTGATCCATAGACCACATTTTTTGTAACATGTCCACACACCACACCCCTTGGTTGGCCCTTGCCTTCAAGGAGTCCAGTAAAGAAATTCTCAAGGGAGTCACCTACATTCCTTCTTTGGTCTCACCCTGGAACAGTTAAAAGGGATGGCTATGAGTCCTACTGCCTAGGTCAGAGTTCTGGCTCTACCTATAGCAGAAGGTGGGGGTTTTGTAAATGGGTTGTTTTTAACCACATTGAAAACAGCTACACTGATGAGACTTCACAGGATGAGCCAAAAAAGGACACTAAGACTGATTCACTAGGAAATAAGGCACATGATAAAAGCTCAGTAATACAGAAGTCCATTTTGCAGGTGAGAACTTGGTTATTGGTTTGGACTCAGATTTGGACTAGGGCAAGATTTCCAGCTCAAATCAAAAGACATCTCCATATAGGTATGTTGCTCCCTGAAGTCTCTCAGGCCTGAGACCTGGCCACATTGCTCCAGGGCATTGCTTGGCCAGATGATGCCCCACCCACAGGCAGACAATAAGCAGCCTTCTTTCCCCAAGTCTGGTTGGCCCAAAGAACATGAAGTCATGGATGAGTTTCATAATGAAGGTCATGGTAGAGTGGGGGCTCTAAGCATGATGGCCTGGGTTTGAATTCCAGCTCTGCCACTTATTAGACTCTTAACTTTGGACAGGTTACTCAGTCTTCTCTGAACCTCTATTTCTACATCTGTATAATGGGAGTAATAATAATAATAGTAGTAAATACTTACACCTCTTAAGGTACTTTAAGATTTCAGTGAGATGTTTCCTATAGAGCACTTAACACAATGTCTGATATATAATGAGCTCTTGATAAATGCTTGTTATAGTTACAACTATAATTTTTCCAACATTAGCATCATTGGCCTGTGATTCTCCCTATTCAGAGATTTTCAATATTATTTAGCAACAGGATCCTTTTATTTTTTTTTAAAATAAATCTCATTGGTACCCAATATGGATGGAACTTCTTTGGATCACTGTGCAGGCATCCCCATACATACTTCCTTAAAGACCCTCAGACTCTAAGAGGCATAATTTATAAACCCTTCTTTAATCAAATTCCTATTTATAGAGAAGAAAGGAAACTAAGGTTCAAACGTGGCATATGAATTATTTCTCATATAGATAGCAGGTCTGGACATAGAGTCCTCCCTCCTTCCATCTGATCCAACCACTCTGCCCCTCTGATAAGCCAGAGACCCTCATAGTTAATTCACATATGCCAAGCACTGTTGTGCTTCTAAGAAAGGCAGTACGAGTATTTTTAGGTCCATTTCACAGGTGAGAAGATGGACAGCCAGAGTGGGGCTATCAATTTCCAGAGCTGGAAAAAAACACATCTGGTTAGTATGTGACAGAGCCTGGATTTGATTCTGGGGTCCTTCCTTCCACACTGGGCTCCTCCATTGGAAATACTGCCTCCCAGTCCCCCCACCCAGCAACTTATGGCTGGCAGTTAACAGGGAAGCTGAGGAACTGGTGGTTAAGTGGTCGTGGGGGTAGAGATGGCCAGGGGCACTGGGGACCCTCTCTGGCCATACCTGACCATTGGCTGCAGGGAGGTCTTCAAGCTGACTTTCATGTCCAGGGGGTAGGAACATGCAAAGTTGACTTTGATGTTGTGGTCACGAATGATGATGTCATCTGCCAGGTAGAGGGTGTTGCTGTATGTGGCATGGGTTTCGTTCCTCTGTATTGGGGGGTGGGAGTGGGAGAGAAGGGCATGAGAATCTGAGTAGGACTCAAAACCAAAGCGGTTTCTCTGGCCACCTGTGAGTTGCCCTCCCAGCTGTTATAATCAAAAGTTGGGACAGCAGCCATATATGAACTAGGCCCTGAGCTAAACATTCCTCCTGCATGACTGCATTAGTTCCTTCATGACTCTAAGAGGAGGGCAGCTATCTTCCTGCCTCATGATGAGGAGATGGGGGTTCACAAACAGTAACTCTTGAGTAACTTGTTCACAGTATGTGGAATCTAATAAGTCTGGGCTCTTCAAATTAGATCATGTCTCCTCTCAAACACTAAAATGACTTAAAACCACGTCCAGACTCATTATTAATGCTAGAATTTCAGACACTGTGCTAAGCAAATAACAATTGCTTTCTTCCTTTTTTTTTGTCTTCTTTCCTTTTCTTTCTGGGGGATGAGGGAATTGGAGAAGCAGTGTTCCACTCAAACATGGAGCTCCAGGTCCCTTTTGAGGAGGTTTCTGGAGGAGAGGTCCTAGTTCTCTGAACACTAGTGATGCAGACCTTGCCTTCAAGGACAATTCATGACAGACAGACCTGCTTCTGAGCCCAGTGCTGATACCTGCTGGCTGAGAAGACGCACTGCCCAGTCTAGGCCCTGCTGTTCCCATCTGTAAAATGGGGAACTATCATCATGGATCATTCTCTTTATTGAAACTTAAATTTATTAAGCACTTACACTGTGCCAATCACTGTCCTAATCATTTCACACACCTTAACTCCTTTAATTCTCTTAACCCTGTGAAGTAAGTACTAGTATCATTATTCCATTTTATAGTTGAGGAAACTGAGGCACAACTGGGCTCATATGACTAGGAAATGGTAAACCTGGGGCTTGAACCAGGCAATGCTCTAACTCTGTCCCATGTTGGCCAGGACATACCATCATCACTGTCCCACAGGGTCCATCCCTGGCTGGGGTCACCACAGTTATCCAGTCCCGGTCACTCCTCTCACTGAAGCCTGAGCACTGGCTGTCACTCAGGGACATGAAAACCTGCTCAAAGCCCAGGCTCTTCAGCTGGCACTTGCTCAGGGACACCTTGATGTCATTGGCTCCACACTCCAGCCTGCGCTCCAAGAGGGAGAGATCTGAAATGGGCAGGGAAAGCAGGATTGGAAACTTGGAACCACAATAGAGGGTCCAGCACATCCCTGGGGCCCAGGCCCAGCTGGTCGGGCTGGCCGTCAGCTGGGGGCACTCAGACTAGCCCCCGTCTCATATTGCTGTGGTCTCCTTTCTCAGAGGGACGGAGACAAAAGATTGGATTCCAAGCATCACTGGATGGATTCAATTGGCCAACTATCAGCTCCATATTACCCTAAGTATGGGACTGTGTACAAAAAACAATATTCTGGTCGTTCACCCCCCAACATTAAATACACTGAGTCTCAGTAAAATTAAACAAAACAACAAACACATTAATCTCAATATCTTTCCATCCTTTTTGTATAATCCACACTAGCTACTAATGTTTTTAATGCTATACACTGCTAATTTCCCTTTTAAAACAACAGAGTGCAGACATCAGGCTCGGTGTTTGGGGCACACAATGACATCCAGCTGGATTTTTTTTTTAACTTTTTAAAAATTGAAGTATTACACAGCTGCTGGGATTTAATAATTTTCTCTCATTGTATTCATTTTTACTGTTACCTTCTATCTAAGGTAAGTGTTACTTGCCACAGACACAGCAGTGACCATAAATGTCCCGTTTATTTAAAAGAAGGATTTAACCAGTTTAAAGAAGAACAAGTTAATAATAAAAATCACAGTCTAAGTAGTACTTGGAAAAAACAAAATTGTAAAATTAGTACTTGGATGTGACTAAAATCATGACTGAAGTTTGGGAGATACTAGCCTGCTTCAATCATTGTATGTACGGGGAAACTGAGGCTTGGAGACCCACAGAGCCCTGCTCAAGATCCTCTGCTGATCAGTGGAGGGCCCAGCCCTTGAAACTGCAGGCTGGTCACCAGTCCTGTGTTCTTGAGCTGTAGAAATAGGGCTTGGGCAGCCTTAGGCCAACAAGTGGCAGCCACCTGTGCTGTAGTGTGGGAGCCTCAGGAAGAAGCTGGGGGTAAGGAGGTCCCTGAAGCTCTGGGAGCTTTGGGGTCTCCTGGTTTTAACAGATATAACTGGACCCACTTTTTACTTGGATAGGATAATATGCAGCCCTGCATCATCTTCACATGTCCCCAACTCACATATAGGAATATGTCCCTCCCCCGGTTGCTGACATTTTCAATACGGTGCCCTCCTCCCACTGGCCTCACCAGTGATGTTGAAGTCCTGTTTGCACTGGCAGCTCCATGTGCCATCATCCGATTTGCAGTCCTCCTCTGCACTGCACTCCTCACATGTCCCCATCACGGAGCTGGGGTCTACGGGATCATAGACAAAGACGGTCAACAGGGATGCTCCCTGGTCTCTTGTGGTGCCCACCCAGGTCTGGAGTGGGGGGACGGGGCGCCCACTCACCTGTGCAATAGGCCAGATAGCACTCGGGGGGCGCGGTCAGGTTGTAGACATAGTAGCCACCAGCACAGGCCTTTACTTGGACAGGAGCGTCCCACAGGCAGCAGTGACCACTCCAGTGCGCACAGGCTTTGCGGTTCACTATGCCCTCATCACTGGACGGGTGCGTGCCGTTGAGCCACATGGTCGCGGCCGTGTTGCAGTGCAGGACCGGCACGCAGGTTTCTGCCAGGCGCACACCACCCGGCCCCATGAAGCGGTACCAGCCGCTCAGGCCCAGGTCACAGGTGTAACCCGCCCCGTACTCTGTGCTGCGCCAATACTCATCTAGGACGTGGTGCTCCTGGCATGGGTCCACGCACACCAGTGTGTCACCCTCGGGCACACAGTCCAGTCCCGGCCCACAGGAGCCCGGGGAGCACTCGCAGTGCTGCCCGTCCCCCAGGTAGCCTGCAGGACAGACACATGAGTAATTGCCCTTGGTATTGATGCAGGTGGCTAGGGGGTGGCAGTGGCTGAGCCCCGGCTGGGCGCACTCATCCACATCGGTGCACCCCAGCCCAGGTGTCAGTTGGAAACCTGCAGCACAGGTGCACAAGTAGGAGCCCAGTGTGTTCACGCAGCTGCTGCCCTTGGAGCAGTTGTGGGCCCCAGGAATGACACATTCATCCAGGTCTGTGCACAGAAGGCCGTCGCCAGTGAAACCCACCTGGCAGGAGCATGTTGTGACAGTCCCGTCCTCCATGCAGGTGGCATTGCTGTGACATTCAGAGCAGCTTCCTGTGGACAGAAGAGCCTAGCTTCAGAGTGGGGCAGCGGGGCCAGTGGTCACTCAGAGTCCTCCTGCATCCCTCAGGGTACCGTGTTCTTTAAGACTTGGTCCCTGGTTGAGTCTCTCCAAAATGACTAAACAAAACTCCCCCGATGATTCCACTGTGCATTCTTCTTTGTTAAGCATTGCTTCAAACTGTGTTTTCTTTCAAAATATCTACATTTCCACATTCAGAGGAATAATACAGAGTTCTTGACACTTGGTGAGATTTAGGTAACCCTGTTGCCCCTTCCCCACCTTTGAACATTTCATTTCTTTTGCCCAGATCTTCTCTGCCTCCCTTCTGAAGACTTCCCCTACTCTCCCTGAAAGCGGCTGTCACACTTTGTGTGATGTCCTCCATGACAGTAAAAAACAATGAAGATAACGAGCTGTCATTTATTAAGCACTTACTATATGCTAGACATTGGGATTGTGCTTTTCACTCATTATCTCCTTGAATCCTCCCCAACGGCCCTGTAGGATTCCTTTTGTATTTACCCTGATTTTAAAGATGAGCAAACTAGGGTTCCAAGGGTTTAAGCCACTTGCTTTGTTGGTAAGGAGCAGAGCCAGGACACAAACCTAGGCAGCAGGACCACAGAGTATATGCTCTTAACCTCTTAACCATGACACTGAAATGGCATTTACTGTGCCCCAAAGTACTCCAACTCAGGGAGACACCCAGCTCCCTTCTCCAGGGAGAAGCTGAAAGCTAGATGAGGATAATGCAAGACCCAGTGGAATGACCTCATAAGAGTGCAGGGGGATGGGGCACCTGTGTGGGTCAGTGGGTTAAGTCTCTGCCTTCAGCTCAGGTCAATATCTCAGGGTCCTGGGATCGAACCCCGCTTCGGGCTCTCTGCTCAGTGGGGAGCCTGCTTCCCTCTCTCTCTCTGCCTGCCTCTCTGCCTACTTGTGAGCTCTCTCTGTCAAATAAATAAATAAAAACTTTAAAATAAAAAAAAGAATCCAGGGGGAGGTGTTTGGGAGCCACTTAGGTGTGTTCAGATCTCCAGTGGGGTTGAATATGTTCTTTCCCTTCCAGTAAAGTGCTAGGGGACCTTAGTGGTGTTCTAGACTCTTGCCTCTCAATGTGTGATCCAAGGACCACAGCATCAGCTTCACCTGAGAGCTTGTCAGAAATGCAGAATCTCAGGCCCTACACAGGGCCTACTGAATCAGAATCTGCATTTTAGCAAAATTCCTATCTGAGTCCTATATACATTAAAGTATAAAAAATGGGTTTAGAATAAACCAAATACTAAACAGTATAGGAGAGGGAGCCAGACCTCCTCTGTTGTTCCCTGGACACACACACATACACACACATACACCCCACTTACTTGCTTCCGAGGTGTCAATGAATGAAGCTATGATGAACCAAGAGGTTACCGTGACTACCGTCCACACTGAGGTCAGGGAGGAAAGTTGCCCCATTCTTTCTGCTCTTCACAGTTACTTCTGGTCTGGGGAGAACCTGCCCAAAGGCAAAGACAGGTTGACCCCTTGGGATTTCCTCTCTGTCTGTGATGCCTGGAGTCTTGTGGAACAGAGATGGATGGGATGATCTTACTCACTTCCCCACAGTGTTTTGGGAGGAGTGCTTTGGTCGTGTACTGTACAACTCCTGAAGATGCCATTTATATGAACTACAGAAAGTGTACAGTGTTGTGGCCCTAGCTTTGGTGGTTTTCCCATCTGTGACCCCACCCTTATTCCCACCCACATATTAGCCTCTGCTCTCCCAGTCTCAGTGCATCTGGAAGAACTGAGTCTCATTTGGAACAGGAAGCAGCAAGGTGGAGTCATGTGTTCCAGACTCACCATCTTATTGGAGGCAGCTTTGGGTTTTCCCAGCCCACTCCCGATCCCCTGCTGGGATACATACAACTTGCCCAGATCCATTTATCCATTCAACAAACATTTATGGAGTAGCTACCAAGTGCCAAATGGAGCTACAGTCCAAGCAAAGCATGAATAGGACAGGCAAGATCTCCAACTTCATGCAGCCCATATATTGCAAAGTTGCTTGAGATATGACTAACCTTCACAGTGGATTTTAGTGTTTCCAGAGCAGTTGCTTATTATTTCACTAAATTGGTTAGATAATCCTAGATAGGTATTACTATTGCCTCCATTTTTACAGCAGCAAACCAGGGGAGTAGATGGTGGTTAAATGTGTGGGACCTGGAGCCTGTCACCAGCATCTAAATCCCTGTTTTACTAATCACTAACAATGTAACAGTGGGCAAGGATTACAGTTTGCTAAGAATTCGTTTCCTCATCTATGAAATACGGATCATTGCTTTCACAAACTGAGTGCCTAGGATGTGCCAGGCTCAGTTTGAAGTCCCTGTGATCAAAGAACTTGTGTTCTGGAACTGTATTTTCCAAGCTTTTGTGACCACAGTCTGTTAAAAGGAAAATATCTTTTGCCATTACCTGATGTAGGTGCCTGTGTGTGTGCATGGGTACACTCACGGTGTACCCATGCACACAGACACACACACAAATTACAAGTTTTATAAAATTCTTAACTACTGTATGCATTGCTTGCTAACATAGTTGATAACATTTAATTAAAAGAAAATTTTGGATATAAACCACAAACGATTTCATGATCTACTAATGGGTCACATGACCTGTACTTTGAAAACACTGAGGCAGATGATAACTGACTGCATTTTATCATGGGGATTAATCAAAGCAGGGCCTGGCATATAGCAAATGCTATTATTGTTCACTACTCTATCCCCAGTGCCTGGTACATAATAGATATTTCGCTGATATTTGTTGAATGAGTGAAGAAATAAATAGTCATTGTTACTAGAAAAGCACAGCCTCAAAGAGAGGGAGATTGATCAACTGAAGACAATGAAGCCAACAGTCAGCAGAGGAATGACCCAATGGGCGTCTGACCCGGAGTCCAGTCTCTTCATTTACTTCCCCTCTCTCCCAAACAGAAAGGGAATCAGCAGAGAACTAGGTGGGGAGAAGTGGCTAGGAGAAGAGAGCCGTAGATAGCCTTACCTGAAGCCAGAGAGATAGAATTAGTCCGTTGGCGAGTGTTTGCCTCCTATATATCCATCTGCCCCTGGTTGGCAGTCTCTCCTCCAATTATTCTCTGGTTCTGTTTCTTGAGATTGTTTTCTTGAGGGTGGAATGTTTTCCCCTTTGGGCACTGTGCTTTCCTGTCCTAGGATGTCAGATTGTTGTTCTTTTTCCTAACACCCCAAATGATTGACATTGGGGGTCAAACTTGTGCCTGCAAATATAAGGCCTCAGTTTTGTACCTTTTGGCATAAAGAGATTCCTTAGTTAGAAATTAACTGGAAAAGCAGTGCCAAGGTACAAGGCATTTTCTTGGTCATTGAGAAGGACAAGGTGGACCCAAAGAGCCAGGCAGAGGTCTGTATCCAAAGCCAGGGTGTGCTGGGGCAAAAGAGAGTTTTTATTGCCCCCATTAGGACATATGCCTGTGGTCATTTGGGGAGGGCACCCTGCTGAGGCACACTCCATCCTTATGAGCTCAGCAAGCTCCTCTATGGTCTGGACATGAGTAGGAGAGGAGGTAGATATGGCTGAAGGTCAAAGCCAGAAGATAATCAGACATCATCAGACCAGACCCATGCTGTAAAGTAAGAGATCTGAGTTTCCATGAGGATAGGCCCCCTAGGGAGGTGGATAACTTTGTGGCTAAGTAGACTGACTTTTGAGTCAGTCCATTGGGCTCCCGATTAGCCATTTATTGTGTGTGAGAGGACTCATTTCTTTAATAATCTTCCTGAGGTCATTTTCGTTATCTGTAAAAGGAAAGTACCTATCTCTTAAAAGTTGTTATGGTGGTGCAAGGAGAAGATGGTGAGAACAGAGGTGGTGTGACGATTCTACCTGTCAATACTGCTTTGCTGATGTATAGTCACAGGGGTCAAAATGGCAGAGCCTGGGCTCAAGCCCATGGGTCCTGACCCAGTCCCATGTAGATGGCAATCCCATAGAGATTGTCAGTCCCATAGAGAAAAATGTAATGCATGTAAACTTTCTCATCCTGTCTCATTTAGTGGTAGGGTAACCATCAGCACTATGCAGTTGTATCCTCAGGATAATTCTGTAGGAGTGAAATTTCTGGGTCAAAGAGGTGGTGCGTTTTGTTTGTTTGTTTGTTTTTTTAATATATATTTTGTAAAGATTTTATTTATTTATTTGACAGAGAGAGCGCGCACAAATGGGGGAGTGGCAGATGGAGAGGGAGAACAGGCTCCCCACTGAGCAGAGAGCCTGATGTGGGGCTTGATCCCAGGACCCTGGGATCATGACCTAATCCAAGGCAGACCCTTAACTGCCTGAGCCACTCAGGCGCCCTGAGGTGGTGCAGTTTTAAGAATTTTGATACCTCTTCCCAAACAGCACCCCAGAGAGAGATTTTAAAAATAACTAGTTTAGGAGCACCTGTGTGTCTCAGTTGGTTAAGCATCTGACTTTGGATCAGGTTATGATCTTGGGGTCCTGGGATTGAGCCCTGTGTTGTGTTCCCTGCTCAATAGAGAATCTGCTTGTCTCTCTCCCTCTGCCCCTCCACCCAACCCCTGTGTGTGCACCCACGGCGCTCTCTCTCTCTCTCTCTCTCTCTCTCTCTCAAAGTCTTTTTAAAAAATAAGTAAACTCGTTTAGGATCCCACCATTGTACACTTTCCTTCATTGTCAAAAAAATAAGTGAGAAATCTCATTGCTTACTTTGGCAATTCTCCCACAAAAAGGGAAATCATTATCTCTTCCTTTGTATGTTATTTTTTTTCTGAACTGTCCTTTTTTTTTATTTTTCTTTTCTTCTATAGGAATGTCCCTGCCCCCCCCACCCCTCACTTAAGAAGAAAATAAAAGTTCTTAATATTCTTTTTCTCTATTTTGGATGGCGAATATCCCTTCTGGTTGGTGCATATGAGGCCCCGTCTAAACTAGAGTCCGGTGTCTTTAAAGGATTAAAATGGAGGCTTGAGGTGGCTCCTGGAATTGTCTGGGCAAAGGCTACAGGCAGGAATATGGGGCGTTTGTGTTGGAGATTATTCATCAGTCTAGTAACCACATTTTTCTAGTTTTGTATTTGATGTTTGTACATCTTGGGGCTTTACTGACCCTGGAGGGATTGTCCCTCTCAGGCTAACTATAGTATTCCTAGAGATTGCAAACAGCTGGCTAGAGATCTGCCTTTCATATGCAAACGAACCACTCAGAGCCCAGCACCCACCCCCACCCCCCAGCCTTCCTTTGCTGGGGCTTTCACACTCAGGGCCACTATTCCCCTGCCCTCATCACCCCAGGGCCAGACACCAGTCAAGGAGAAGCATTCCCTCATCCCAGGACCTACTGAAATTATTCAAACTATCCATCCTAAACCTGGTTGCCCTGCTTCTCCTTTTCCCTCCCATGGAAACCTCAAGAAAGGTTCTTGCTCATGGCTCCCCCCTCCCTTGGCCTCCTGAGTGACCTTGGTGCTTCTTCGTGTGCCCCCTCCTCTTGGGATCTGGGAATCTAATCAACTATGTTTTCAATGGCATTCATCTTCTCATCTGTTAGCCTTGCCATATCTAAATAATAATAACAAAACTACATTTTAAAACAACAAGCATCACCTGCCCTCAACAGAGCTGGAGCATCCTGTGGTATTTCTCTATTTGGTTGTTTTTCCACTCTTTCTTCAAAACCCCTATCGTCTCCCACCCCACACATTTAATGACATCATGGCATTCTCCCTGGAGTCACTAAGCATTGCCTCCCTTCCTGTCCCTGGACACATCTTCCACATCTCCTCTCCTGCCATTATGAGAGCAGCTTCCTTCTCCCTGGGCTGATAACCTTTCTCCCTCACCTTCACCTACCCCTTCCTCCTATAACTCTCTCTTCTTAGAGGCACTTGAAGTATTCTCATCTGCTCATCCCTTCTTTTTTTTAAATTGTTTTTTTCTGCTAGTCCCTTCTGTAGAAACCTTCCTTTAACCCCACACTCCCTCCAGCCACCATCCTATTTTCCATCCTTTCATCGCCAAACTTCACAAAAGATTTATTTGCACACTTTCCCCTCAGATTCACACTGATACATGTCCTGAACGGCCGGCTCCATTGACATTGCTCATGAAGATCTCTAAAGACATCCATGTTGCTATTCAGTCACTTTTTTTTTTCTTTATCTTACTTGCAGAAGAGTAGCCAAAAAATATTTGTGTCTTTTTTTTTAAATTTCTTTTCAGCATAACAGTATTTGTTGTTTTTGTACCACACCCAGTGCTCCATGCAATCGGTACCCTCTCTAATACCCACCACCTGGTTCCCCCAACCTCCCACCCCCCACCCCTTCAAAACCCTCAGATTGTTTTTCAGAGTCTATAGTCTCTCATGGTTCACCTCCCCTTCCAATTTCCCTCAACTCCCTTCTCCTCTCCATCTTCCCTTGTCCTCCATGCTATTTGTTATGCTCCACAAATAAGTGAATTTGTTTCTGAACAAACCTTACTTTACTCAGTTTATCAGAAGTTTCCATCTTCTTGGA